CCCCCTCATGGCACTGTTTCTGAAGTATTTTCTTATTGCTAGGTGTTATCAGGCTATTTTTAAGAGGGTCCTGATAATCCTGCAGCCAGTCCTTCACTATTAGTATGGGAAGCAGCCTTTCCCAGTGTGGTGACACTAACCTGGGTGGTTGCATTACTCCAGAGTAAGTTTTTCCTCACATATCCTAAGTTTTAGTGTAACACTGCTGCAAGCTACTGCACTGCACCCCAGCAGTGGCTCTGTGTTTGCGTTGGATGACTCTTTAAGATGCTTTGGGCTGCAAGAGATCTTCTATAAGCTAGATCTTACCTCACTGTGGAGTCATTCCCAGTCATTGGGCGGCTTTTGGGAAACACAAACCTGGTGAATGCAGGAGTAAACACGTCTATTTTTGTAGTTTGTCTTCAAGTCAAACCAAAATAAGAGCTGACTTGAGGCTGGAGATGTGTGACACGCTGGTAACTGAGACCTGGCAGCACGGGGCCTCATCCTCTCTGCTGACTTACAGAGGCATTTCTGGAGTCAGGGCAGCTCCTGCCCTCCAGCCACGCAGCCTGGAGCTGTTTAATGTTGTGTGATGTGCTGGGGCAGGCAGATGAGCCACCCGTGCTCAGTGCCTCAGGAAAACCTGCGTGATTCAGTTGCTGTCTGCATCTTCTGTGTCACCATGAGCCTGGGTCTTGCCTTCCAGCACAAGAGCCTGGTGCATGCGATCAAGTTGGGTTAGAGGCACCTTGGACTTCGCACCCGTGTTGGGCTGCACAGGCTTTCCCTGGAGTTCAAGGGGGAATTTCCTTCATCATTCTCCCTGTGTCGCTTTGCTTCCTCTCCGAACAGGGACTTTCCAAATTGCCATATATAGAATAGCCCCTCCAACCAAAAACTGTTGCGTAGAGCTGAAAAAGGGCTGTGTTTCCAAAAGCCTCTTTGTTCCAGCTGCAGGAATTTGTCTCCAAGAGGATATTGCATCTCTTTAGAAACCGTGTATTGTTGACGTCCCCAGAATGTCAGGGCAGCTGCAGCACGCCAGCAGGGCTCAGAACCATGGGGCTGAGGCTTGTGCTGTGCAGGAGACGTGTGGACATGTCTGAGACTTGGTAACACCACGCTCAAAATAGAGTAGATTGGGAGGTGGTGCCTTTCATTTGAGTTTTGGTTTTACTTTTACAGTGTTTAACTGTTCCTGTAATGTGGCCATGGTAAAATGATGAAGATCCTGTGTGAATTTCAGTCAAGGCAATGAAAGGTGGAGAACATGAGAGGGAGCTGAGCCCGGGCTGAGATCTGTATCCAGGTTCTGCTCCCATCTAAACAGGAGCAAACCTGGAGTGGTACAGCTGGCTTCAGGGTGCAGGATGCCACTAGGCAAGAGTCAGCACGTGCATGCACCAGCCTTACTGGAAACAGGATCTGTCAGTTACAGGAAAGCTTAAAAATAAAACCAAATTGTGTAAGATCTAATTATTTTCCAGGCTGTTTTTTCCTGCTTCCCCCTATCCCAGCAGGGCTCACAGGGAGATAAAGGCTGAAATGTCTCCAGGCTGCAGGGTGTGAATGGTGTTCACATCAATAAACTAGCAAAAAAGGGAATTATTCTAAGATGAGCAACCCTTCCGTGGAAAGATTTCCTTGGGAAGTGAGTAATGGAAAGAAATCACCTCCAGGTACCTACCAGCCCTCACCAAGGGACTCTGAACATGCATCTCTGAGCCCAGGGAACCAGACCTGTAGCATCTCTGGCTCACTGTCTTTGCCGTTTCTCTGTACCACAGGTTCTCGGGCAAAGGGGCAGAAGGGGGACAGGCAGGAGCAGATGGAGGCCTGGGTTAGTTGATGAGAAGCAGATGGTTTGCAGTAGGGCAATACTTGCTTCCTCCAGCCCATCCCTTCCACATCCCAGGTCCAGAATACAACCAGTGTGAGAACAAGTAGGACACATTTGCCAGCAGAGAACAAGGATGCGACTGCACAAGCTCTTCACTCAGCAGTGGGCTGGAAAGCCTTTTCCCTTCTTGGCTGCTGTCATGGTCAATACAGCAGCAGCTGCATGGAATGTGACTCTGTGCAATGGGAATCAATGGATTTTCTCACACGGGTGAATTAGACCATGGTGTGCTTTGCTTTGCTGTGTAGCTCTTCCCTTTTGCTTGCCAAATAAGACTCCAGGCTGAGGGCTTCACTACTAGAGAACCTGCACTTCACCATGAGTGCTGCTAAATCAGCACAACTGTGACAGGGAGGAGGATCTCACAAGTTATGTGCTCTTGGTATGAGAGCAGAGTGTCTCATTCTCTGGGATAATGCTTATTCCAGGCTGCATGAATGGGTGGGTGAGGCTGTCCCTCATGTAGGGTTATGTTACATCACATTGAGGTATCACACAGCCTGGTGGTGTGAAGCTCCTGAGTGATGCAGCTGGGTACCAGACTGGGAGGGAAACCCAGGGAAGTGCCCAGGAAGCTTAATGAGCTGGCAGAATCCATGGTTTCTCAATGGAATCTGATTTCTTGGGCCTGTTCTGACTTTCCATTCAGTTGATGAGTTTGGATACAACTTTTTCCCCACCCTGCACAGCTCCTTGGTTCACTCTTTACAGTTCCCAGGAGAGAGAGGATCAAATTGGAGGAAATCCCACAGGCTTCTAAACATTCCTCCTTTGCTACTTCTTAGCCTGCGTTGTTGGTCACTTCCTATGTTAAGGGAGATGACAATGGATTAGTCTCTTCTTAAGTGGGTGAACTTTCCTACTAGTAATGTCTTAGATCTGTCCAGAAGTAGCACTTGTTAAAGCCTAAAGTGGAAAAAATGGGAAAGGGATTATTGTCACCTCTTCCTGATGCATAAGAGCCAAAAGTGGATACACGGACAGCAGGACTGCTCCATCCCTGGCAGTGTTCAAGGCCAGGTTGGACAGAGCCTTGGGCAACATGGTCTAGGGTGAGGTGTCCCTGCCCATGGCAGGGGGTTGGAACTGGGTGATCTTAAGGTCCTTTCCAACCCAAACCATTCTATGATTCTATGACATCCATGAGAATGGGAACTAGGTTTGGTCCATCTTTTGTTCTGGCAAGTCTCCTGCATGCAGGGAAGTGCAGAAGCTCCATGCCAGCGAAGGAGGAACATCTTTGCTATATGCTCACTGCCAAGCTCTTCTCCCCCCCCATCCAGTAAGAGATTGGTCACAGGTTTATCTTCAGCCCTGGGAGTCCCCTTTGACTCAGAAGCCAGACTTGGAGGTGTATTTAATGCCACGCTGCAGGGACATAACCAGTGGGCACAGAGCATTGCTCCGTGCCCCATTCCATGCGCTGGCGCTCCGCACTCAGCAGCGGGTGCTTCCTGCAGGCTCCGTGCTGCCCGGTGCCTCCTGCCCCAGCTGTCCCCTGGGCACAGCCGTGGGACACAGTGTCTGCTTGTACCCCCCGTGTTTAGCCCCCTGTGGGGCAGCACAGGGGCAGGGACACACGTTGGGTAGCGCTAGGACCTAGGGAGTGCTCAGCCTGCCTCCTCCCAGCAGATTAGCCAATATTCCCAGGGCAGGGCAGGCTCCTCAGCCCGTCTACTTCTTTCCTCTATAGACGTGGTTTTCCTTCTTCTAGTTCATTCCAGAGCAAAGCAGCTTTGGATTTCTCTGAGCTGCTTTTCTTTCCCTCCCAGTAGCTGGACTGTTGCCAGTGTCTTGCAGGGCCCAAGTTTTATCTATAGGGATCTCTTTCTCGGAGCAGCCCAGCTGCACACAGGCTGCTGCGACTGAATCCACGCTCCTGGGGCAAGTTGAAGTCGGGAGAGGAGCAGCAGCAGGGGTGCTGTTTGTGCCTCTCCTCCAGCTATTCCTGTCAAGATGGATTTATGACTTTAAAAGGGGGGGGAAGGAAAATTGCCTACAGGAGCCAGAGCTTCCACCAGAGCCCAGCCAAACACACATAAAGAAGCAGCCGGATCCCGAGGCATGAGCAACGTGGAAGTGGCACCCTGGGATCTGGTGGATCCTTGCACATAATATGACTGATCTTAAGCCTTTCATCTGCCTTCACAGAGCCGAGCTTTTGGATTTAAGGTAGTTTGCCCAGGACCAGACTTTGCTATGTTGGCCAAGACAGTGCTTTCTCTTGGTCTGTGGCTGCAGTTTGCTGCGGGACAGAACACACCTGGGAGAGGTGAGTGCCTGTAAAGACAAGGGGGTTCCTTAGTGCCCCCTCTTTTAATACCTCCTGATCCTTAAGAGCTTCTCCTAAAGCCTTTTCAGAATAAAAGCTGAAGTTCTGTTGCTGCTTTAGGTGTATGGTTATACTTGCATGATCTCTTGCTTGTTTCCAGTAGCAGAAACTGTTTCAGAAACGTGCAGTTTAGTGCAACCGTATGGAAAAGGTCCTCATTCCCCACTGTTACCTACGTCCTGAGGCACATTGATTTAGAGAAGTACAAGTAGTGATTGATACTATACCTGTCTTGTTCTGTTGCTGATCTCTGTAATTCAATCATTATTTCCTCTTTAAGATGCTTTCTCTTGGATACTGCTCAGGGAGAACGGCTGTGGGTCAGTATTGCAGAACTGATGGGGGGAAAGGAACACAGAGGAGATGAACATCTCACTTCTGGTTCCTGCACTGTGGCACTGGGCAGAACGCTTTGCCCACAGCCTGATGGCTGAGCTGATGCACTTACTGTGCTCACAAGCAGAAGGTTCTGTTCTTTGACTGCAGGGCTACAGCTGGCTGCATCTGGCTTTCCCTGCACCTGGGCAATGTAATCCCATGTGAAAGGAGAAGGGAACCTCTATCTGGACAGGAGGTCCTCAGCTCAGACAGCTGGGGTGTGATTCTGCTTGGGTATTGCTCAGATCCCGTTACAGGGTGCTGGATTCTGCCCCCCAGTGACAGAGGCTGCTTCAGGAATGGTGCTGCCGCCTCTGGCACAGACACATCCTCAGTGACCACACAGGCAGCAGTTATTCCCATTGTCCTGCGTTTCTGCTGCCATGGGAGTTTATGCGGCCATTCCCCAGCCCAGGCTAAGAGCAGTGCTCAGAGCTCCAGAGCATGTGCAAAGCAAGCCAAGGCTTTCCAGAGGGACTGTGCCTCGCTCCAGGGTCAAAGTTGCGTGTGCTGTGTTATTGATGTGCTGACTGCGGCTTGCAGGCTGCCAAGCACCCTCAGAGGAAATGAACCTGCCGGTGGGCAGGGTGCCATCCCCAGCAGCTTTGATGTGGGGCCTCCGGGGCTCCTCCCAGGTGCTCCCTGAAGCCACCCTGAGCAAACAGCCAGGCTGGCAGGGGATGGGCAGCTCTTGGCTGGAGGTGCTGGGGTGCTGTGCCATGGTCACACAGTGACAGGAACTCTCTGAGAGGCAGGGATGCATCTTCAGAGCTCTGTTTCCTAAGGTCTTGGCTGAATGTGAAGGATTGTGGCTTTATTCTAGGCTGCAGTGGACCAGGTGAGGAAGCTACTGGTGGCCAGTGGTGCTTCTACAAGCTCAGGAATGACTGGCTTTTTCAGGGTGATGGCCACTAACAGTGCAAAAGGCACAAAGTCAAGGCAGAGCATTGCATGACCAGTTCCACCACCTTCCTCTTTGGGTCCAGCTTCAGAGCTCTGTTGCATCAGTGTAAAGTATGAGCATTTGGTAGTTTGGGCTTTGATAAATGAAGCTTAAGGTGTTGTTACCTGGTTACTCCAGACTAGCATCAGCAGTAAATGATGGGGATGTTGCTGTCTGTGTGGGTGCAGCAAGTGAAAAACAGACACAGCTCATCCATATACACTTTGTAGAGAGCCCTGCACTTACTGAGCTCTGAAGCACAGCTCAGTACCTGGCACAGTTCCACAATTCCAGGACTCCTGAGGCTCTAAATAAAACAGCAGAGATAGTGAAACTCCTGAAAAGATCATAAGAGATGGCAACCCAGCTTCCTTCCTGCCAGAGGAATTTGTCTGAAGGGCCATTTCTCAACCTGCAGCCTGTAATCTGTGGCACAGACGAGCTGGAACCTGCAGAGGCAGCTTGGGCTTTTACTCACACCAGTATACGTTGGTTGGTGAGGCTCTGCTCCTTAACTAGGCAGGTGATGTAGCTGCTCCCCATGGCACAGGCCTCCCTGATGTGGTTTTAAGTGTAAAACACCTCCTGGATGATGGGATACCCCCCTTTCTGGGGAGGCAGTGCCTTTCTCCTCCTGCCTCTCACTGCGATCCCAAGGGGCCGCAGGGAAGCACAGATTGTGTTCCTCAGCTTCCAGACCTGGCTCT